AAGTTCTAAATATAGCATTTGAATTTGCATAAATTTCTCAGAGTTTTGGAATTTAACAAACGGACGCCATGGCCTTGGCTGCTGCTGCTCTGATCGGCCCATGAGACAAGGCGGACATTGAACCATTGGTCAACGTTACACCGAGCGCCACGAGCCAATCGTCTTTACCAAACTTGCCGGAGTAGTTTGTTGGTAGTGGATGACCACTGGCTCACGCCTCTCCGTCGATTGCTGTTCGGAAGCGATTTTCGTCCTCCCTCTCAAGGTTTGCGAGCGAAAATTCGAACATTAGAGGGAACGACAGTGAATCGCTGTCGTGTTGACACCTGTTCGGCCATTTGAGATTTTGGGCTTTTCTCTAAATAGGCCCATTAAACATATGGGCTATTTAAGCTTCGGAAGTGTCCAAATAAATGGGCCACTATTTTCGGTTTAGGAGTTATTGGGCCGACATCTTTTTTTCGAGGACATTTTTGGAAAATGGATTATATATTGAAAAATACGAGGTACTTCGCATTTGTGTTTTTTATTTTATATAATTTTAAATTCCGTTGAATAAACATCCATTATTTTTCATTTTACATTTTTTTTAATCAGAATGATCTAATTTCACATTTTATTATTATAATTTATTTTTGCTTTTAAATTAAATCCTTTTTGCTAATATTTAATTATTATTTTAGCCTTTAATTAATTAAATAATAATAATAATAATAAATAACACGCAAAAATTAAAAGAAAGTTGTATATGCTATCCACTCAAAAATCTCCGTATCTAAATTGATATCCTATTATGGTATTTTAGATCAAGTTGAACTTTGTTTCAACAAGTTAATTAAAAAAAAATCTCTCATTAAAATATTAGAGCGAGTTGAAAGCTCATATCTCATATTATTATTTGGATCACACGAGACATTTCCATAAGTTTTTGGACAAATCGTCCCTAAATTAAATTGTTATTAATTAGTCCACAATTTTATTGGTTTTTGAAGACTAAATTACAATATCATATAATAATAATAAAATATTGTCGATAAACATAATTTTATTAATGATTTAAATAAAGTAAAAACATAAATAAATTATTTATGTATTAAAGATAGATAATTTGTTACCAAACATTATATATATATATATATATATATATATATATATATATATATATATATATATATATATATATATATATATATGATTTTGTAGACAATTTGTATGGATTTAAAATGTATTATAGTTCTTAATTAAATAAATGATTTATTGGGGTTCTGACATTTTTTTTAATAGAATTTAAATTAGTAAGCAATAGTATATAAATAAATTGACTTTGGATGAATTGACCCGTTGTTGTGGGTTAGCTGGCATACAAATTTGAAGACCAGATTTAGTTGTTGGAAATTGGAATAAGACAAAATTGACTTAGTTTTGCTGAATTGCTTATGCCAGAATCCAAACAAACTGGTACGAGACAAACTTGAGTTATCTTTAAAACTGAGTCTACCTTACGCCAGTCGCCAAACAAACCTAATTATAGTATCTGATATTATTGTTGTGTTGGTACGTAATCGTATATACTGCCGCAGGTTTCTTTTTCTTAATCAAATGGAAATTTTATTAATTTCATAGTAAAAAATTATATATATATATTTATAAAATAAGTATTTATATAATTTGTTACCACCTAACCGAACCTAATCTCCCGCCGATATTGTTATATTTAAAATTCTCTTCTACAATTGATATAGGTGCCTACATGGGCTAGAGAGCGCTTTGGCATAAAATGAGCGAGAAAACACGTCTCACTCACAAATCCATTTTTGAAAAATAACTCGTAAAAAGGTAACTAACCCAACATGAAAATGTGACTAAAATACCGAACACTCGCAAGAAGGGTACTGGAAAAACAGGACTATGGATGTGTTAAGAATATAACGAAAAAAAATATTTAAAAATCCTTATAAGAGAAAATTAATATTAATAAAAGGAAGTAATTATGTTAGTGACGGATGGATGTGTTTTCCACATGGTAAAAAGAGAAGACGAATAATTCATGAAATCCTTATTGAGTCTGTGACTGTGAAGTCCATGGAAGAGACAGAGCTAAGCTAAGCTTTTTTTTTTTTGTAAACAAAAAATTAAAAAAGCACGTGACAGGGAGGAGGAGGACCATTATTCAATTTATTCACGGGCAACATCCCAGAACTAACCTATAAAAATTTATTAAAAAAAAAAAAGAAATAAAAGGAGTGAGGGTTGGTTGGGTACTGTAGCGCTGAGGTTGGAGGTTAGTGGCGGAAGTCGAGGATGGAGGGAAAGAGACAAAGGCGCTAACAGACGAAAATGTAGAGATAGAGAGAGAAAATGGCGGTTTGGGAAGTTGGGCGGAATTACCAGAAACCTCTTGTTTCGATATTGTGTGCTCAAGTAGCTGTTTTTCCCGTGGGACAGACGAGAGAATTAAACAGCTCTGTGTCGGGTGGTTGGAAAATCAAACAACCACGGTTTTGCTCTCCCACCGCCGTCCGTGACGTGTCCCTCCCTCTCCTCTCTCTCTCCTCTGCTTCCCTTCCACTTCCGTCCTTTCCTATTTTACTTTCCTTCCCACGTCCGCCAATTTCATATTTCATTCTTTACTGAAAAAAAAAAAAAAAAATCATATTTATTATACATTTTTTAAATATTCATTTTAATCATAAATTACATTTTTCTAAAAACCTTTATTAAAAATATTAAATATCATAATAAACCATAAGGAAAAAAAATATTTTACTAACTTGTTTATGGTATATATATATATATATAAATATAGCACAAAACTAAATTATTAATATATTTATTTATTTAGATATATTCATGTAGTTCTTATTATTAATAAAAATATTATTTATTTACAATAATTCATGCAATTTATTTAATAAAATAATATTTTTAAACGTAAAAATATTTTAAATAGTTTAATGATATTCGACCAATATTATTGAGAATAATATTCCAATAATCATTCAAATTTATTAAAAAAAATATTAAATATGTGTCGTTAGATAATGCATTATGTCTTGAAAGGGTGGGCATGTTATATGTGTATATATTAGTATATGAAACTATATGAAACAAATTTATATTAAATAATTTGAAGAAAGATTTTTCATTATAGATTATAAGATATATCTCAATGCGTGTTAGGTTCAAGTTTCAATGCAGTGTATATTATTATTATTATTATTATTATTATTATCATTATGAATTTGACAAAATGAACTTAACTAAGATATTGATTAAATAAAACGTTGAAGGAATAAAATAAATAGGGAATTAGATCGAAGAATTTTGGCTGGATCTCAAGTGTATTGGTCGAGGTGTGAGGCCTATGGTTTAATTAATGGGTTTAGTCAGACCGTCATTTTTTTAATTGCTCGCCGTTGAACCGAACCGGGAACCCCAATGTTCATGCACGCGTTTCCCAAACCCTTCAATTTTAATTATTATTTTTTTTTTTACCAGAATTAGAAATTAAAATTTATTATTTATTAATTGGAATTTAAAAAATTGAATTTGGCATGCTTTTATTACTGCCTTGAAATCATTAATTTTATCTGTGAACTTTGAAAATTAGAGCCCCGAAGGCTTTAAATTTGACACGTGGCATTAACAGGGTAGCCCTTTTTAGGGTATTTTAACTCATTATAAAATATATATTAAAGGTTAATAATATTTATAATTAGGACATTAATTAAAATAGGAAATATTATGGTGGGAATATTTTATTTAAAAAAAACGTGGATGCCATCCATTTAATTCACGAGACGATAACCAGCTTGCAGCCATGAGTAATTAAAATTTGAAACGCGTTATGATTAATTTAGGTTTTTGCTAAAAGTTTAAGGAGTATTGGTAGATATTATGGCCCCACTTTTTTTTCTTATAAATTTTAACTTTTAATTTCCCATTCAATTAACCAAAATACTAATATTGGCTTAATGTGAAACCCCGATTAATTAATTAGCTAAAAAAAACACCTAACCACTTTTTAATTTTAATTTAGTCTCATTTCTACTATTAATTATTATCTAAAACTAGTTAGGATAATAGAAAGTTAAAATAGCCCAAAATTATTTTTTAAAAAATAATTACCTAAGCAAATGACGGGTATAACTTAAGATAATTCAATACTTTTTTTTCTAATATCTATATTCAAAATCTTTAATATATATTTTTTATTTATAAAATATTATCGATTTATTATAACTTTTAGATATTTACTAGAAGTTATAATTGAAAATAAATACAATTCGTGGAGGTGGGGAGATTTATCCATCCCTACTCTGCTCCGTAGACATTTCTACTCACAACCCGTGTGAAATCCCACTTCGGTTGGAGAGAGAAGCGAAACATTCCTTATAGGCATAGTAAGGGAAAGCCCAAATAGCTTGATGGGAAGTTCAAAAAGAAAAACCCAAACAAGATAGTATCCAGATGTAACTTTGAAAATGTATTTTAAAACGGTAGACCAAAGTGGACAATATCTATTAGTATTAGGTTGGAGAAAAGACATTATGTGAGAATGGTGAACATGAGTTGTTATAACTTTTCCATAATTCATCTTATACCGACTCTCATGTCTCCCAATTAACACACTATTTTTATATATATTAAACATTCGACTCGATAATAACAATAATAATAATTTGTAAAAAAAAAAAAAAAAAAAAACCCTTATATAAGCTTTGATATAATTAAAGGAAGGGTGTGATAAGGACATAAGTAGTAAGAAAAGTGTAGGAAGGAACAAAAAAAACGGCCCACCAACTGTATTTGAATATTTGAAAAAATGGGGAGTGGCAGTAAAGAAACATTTGGAGGCATCTGGATGTGGATGGTATGAGCCATGAGGCCCCCACGGGCCACCCCCACCCGGCCCCATCTTCATCACTGTTCATTTATCATCATTTCTTACTCTCCCGTTTTGTGGCCATACAAATTCTGACACGGTCTTCTGCCACCAAGTATTTGGTCAAGATCATTGATTTGCCTCTATATATTCTCCCAAGCTTTATCGAGTGAGTGAAGAGACACAAAAATGGAGCTCAATGAACACTACTTGTTTGAAGAACTCTTAGCTTTGAAAAGAGAGATCAATTGGGAATTTGCAATGCCCACAGACATTAATGGCTGGAATTTTGATTGCTCTGATTCTATGGCAATGGATGAACTCAACCTTAGTTACCTTCTTAATGGCCAAGGTCAGTATTCTTTTCCCGCCGATCAGTTCACGGCGGCGGCGGCGGCGAGTACCGGCGATTCGATGAGTTTTGAGGTTTACAATGGGGAATATCCGATTATGAATATGGAAGAGGAGGAGCTTGGAATTCTGGAGGATGAAATTCATAATCTTGAAGTTCAGGCCAATTGTAAAGTGGAAGCTGTTCAATCTCCTGAAGAAATCGTTCCCAACGCCGGCGATTTTGGGCAAAAAATCGTGAATTCCAATCGGAAGAAACTTCAGGGGCAGCCGTCGAAGAATCTCATGGCGGAGAGACGGCGGAGGAAGCGCCTCAATGATCGCCTCTCCATGCTCCGATCCATTGTCCCCAAAATCAGCAAGGTTTTGTTTATTATTATTATTATTATTTTAATGTCGATAATTACTTAAAAATTAAATTAAAATTGTAATTTAGATGGATCGAACCGCGATTCTTGCGGATGCGATTGAGTACGTGAAGGAACTGGTGGAGAAAATCAAGAATTTGCAGACGGAAATTGAAGCGGGGAATGATCCGAATAAGTTGGGGATTTTGAGAGATTTAAAAAGGAATGAATATTCGGTGAGAAATTCGGCGAAGGTAATGCGCGATTAATTAGGTTAATGGTAATTATTAATTGCGGTTTAGGTTTTTAATTAGGGTTTTGAAATTTTGCAGTTCAATGTGGAGAGGAGAGAGGGGGAGACTGGGATAGAGATTTGCTGTGCGGCCAAGCCAGGCCTGTTGCTGTCCACTGTCCAAACTCTCGAAGCGTTGGGGCTTGATATTCAGCACTGTGTCGTTAGCTGCTTCAATGACTTCGCAATCCAAGCTTCTTGTTCTGAGGCATGTTCATATCAATTTATTTTATTTTATTTTATGCTTCTTCTCTCAAGGGATTGTATTGGCTTGTGATGAAATAGGGAGAGGAGCAAAGAAGTCGTATGAGCACGGAAGAAGTAAAGCAAGCGTTATTTCAAACCGCTGGGTATGGAGGAAGATGCCCGTAGAACAAATCTAATTAGATTTGGTGTAACAGCCCATGCCTATCGCTAGCAGATATTGCATACTTTGGCTCCTTATTTATCGTCGTCAGTCTCACAGTTTTAAAACGTATCTACTAGGAAGAGGTTTCTTTATGCTTACAAGGAAAGCTTAACTCCCCTCTCCTGTTGACGTGAAATCTCACAATCTACCCTCTTAGGGGCTAGCGTATTTGATGCTAGTACACCTTTTATACCACTTGTAACCTAAGCTCTAATACCATTTGTAATCAAGAGATGAATGAAACATTTCTTATGAGTGTGTCAAAAACCTCGAGCAAACACCTTTTTAAATCATGAGACTGACGGGATAAGTAACGAGCCAAAGTAGACACTATCGGTTCGTTTGTTACATATATTTTTTTTTTAATAATAAATGTGTATTCAATTTATGTCATTAATCACTAAATAAATTGTTTTGTTATGGAATATGACAAATAAAAAGTTAGGTTTTTTTTTAAAAAATTATTTATTTATTTCAATTGTACTGTTCGGTGCTTATTTTATTAAACAGAAGATTGATGTACGGCTGTGATTCGTACACGGAATCACAAAGATTCATTGATCAGCTTTTAGGCATGCTTTTCAAAAGCCAGCTGTAGTCTGTCCTTTTTTTTTTTTCAGAACTTGAATCATTGGAATAAATTTGTTAATAATTTGTATTAAAAAAGTTCTGTATATTAGCAATTAAATGGGCCTGGGCTTCGAGGCAGAATCGGGCCGAATTCTCAGTTCTGCTTCGGCCCATTATAATATCAAGGCCCAAATATATTCAACTTTGTAATTAAACCCTAATAAAACGCATTAATTGATAAAAAGCTTCTAATTAGTGAATTAAGTACAGGCAACGACCATCTTCCAAAGGTTGCGGCAATGTGATGATGGTGGCGTGTCTCATCCGACAGGGGACACGTCATCAGACAGTCCTGCAAGGCAAGCATGATGCGAAACCCCATTTTGATAGGCTTTCACTTTCTGCTTTCAAATTCCACCATCTGTTACCCAATTAAACTTTAAAACCATATCTTATAATATGGACCCTACGCTCTTTTAATTTTAATATAAGGTTTTATTTTAATAACATATTGTGTATATAAATAATATCTTAGGAAATAAACAAATAAAGGATAATGTGTTGTCCTTTATCTCTATCTTGTACTCTCTAGTGGAAAGAATTCATGTGAAAAAGACCATAACCTAATTTCTGCTACGGAAATCCACGAGGTTGCCATTACTTCCCATAGTGATTAAACATATATGCATTCCCCAGTAACTTTATAAACTTTTGCTTTTTTATTTTTAGCTACCAATTATATTTTGAGCTAGAACCATGGGTAGACCCGGTTAAGAATCCGGACTCTCTACAATAATATGATGTTGCCCACTTTGAACGTGAGCTCTTATGACTTTATAAACCCACGATCTTCCACTAAATTAACCAAGGTGTGATTCACTCCCAGTAATCCTCAATAAACTCACCCTAAATCGGATGTAGAATCTCTACTTAATTTCGGGATAAAGTAAGGAGCTTTGATATCTAAATGACATCGAGAAGAAAAGATTATATCATTTGTCATGTCCTATTACATGTACGGCTCACTTTATTTATTTATATATATAAATACTCTACAAAATAACAATTTGGATTTTAGAAATTATGCACTATATTATTTCCTATTAAGATATTTTGCACTTTTTTATTAAAAAATTATTTAAAAAATAAAAAATATATTACAAATATTTAATATTAATATACTTTTTAAAATACATATATAAAAATATGGAGATTTTTTTTTTAAAAAATTTTATTATCTTGTTTCTCAATAAAAATAAATGAAAATTTTTGCGATAATGTAAATTAAAATAAGAGTAGGAGACTGAGGAAGGTCTCTCTGTCCTATCGAGTAGACATCTCTGAACAGAAAAAACTTAATATTTTGTTATTTATTAATGTACATAGCTAAAAATATATATATTTTTTTTTGACTTTTTATCTATATTATTTTTCACTCATGCTTGTAAATTATAAATCTAAGCTAATAAATGGAATGGTTGCGAATAACAATAAAATATTATAAAGTAATGATAAAATTTATGCTTTATTTATTTAATTATTAAGAAAGAAATATGTAATGATTGGGAGTGGGTGAAATTTGAAGGAATTGGAACCTGTAATTAGGCGACAAATTAAAAGCACATCATTAAAGTGATAGAATAGTATTTGTGTTTCAAAAGACTACTAATTAATTTAAATTAAAAACAAAATATTTAAACATTATCATAATTAAACTAAGTTGCACCAAAGGTGGTGACAAGAATTAAAGGGGCTCTCTTTTTAAAACAATGCCTTATTGTTATCCTCTTCGTTGATGGATGTGAAATTATGATAATGTTTTGATTAAATATAGAAATTTGATGTGATCCCCTTTTATATAATTAATTCCATTAAAGTATTGATTTTACATTAATTTCATTTCATTTAATTTAGATTAAAAACCTTCCTACCATCGCAATTTATATATATATATATATATATATTAAAAATAAATAAAGTTTTATTTTATAAAATTTTAATTATGTTACAAAAGAGCCCACTTGAGTCCGTACTGTACGTAAATTGAGATTTTTTTTTGGTTATGTAAAGGGAAGCGGGTCATTTTCAATTAATACCCATAACCCATTACCCATGCCGATTAAATAAATAAATTAAAATAAAATATTTTTGTGCATAAATTGAATTGTCATCAACAAATCTGCAGAATTTGATCAGAGGAAGATCGAGGGATACAAAAAATGGAGTATGATGACCGCGAAGCACAGGATTCCGCCTCTCTGAGCTTTCCGGTTGGTTTGGTTCTTTTGTTGACATTTTTGTTCTGCATGTGTTGTTTCTTTTCTTGTTGTCTTCACTGGGAAAAGCTCCGATCAATTCTCGGCTGTCCCGATCACTCCGACCACCTTCATCCTTCTATTCCGCCGGAAACCCCCGCCTTCTCGCCGCCTGATAAATTCTCCCCAATCCATACGGTGCGTTTTGTTCCTTCTACTTCTTCTTTAGCTAGTCCATACGGTGCGTTTTGTACCGCCGGAACCTAGGCCGTGTTTTGAAGAATTTATTTATTTTTTTTTTTTTAAACTAAGAATTTAAATATCGAATAAATCTTATTATTAATTTTTGACGTTTCCTTTATATCTTTTTTTTTTTTTTTCTAAACAAAAGATATGGAAGGAGAATCGGCCGGAAAGCCTGACGGTGTTGATGCCCGGCGACGAGGTTCCGAGGTTTATAGCAATGGCATGTCCGCCGTGTGGGGCGGCGCCGTTGGTAGAAATTGTAATACAGAAACCTTCTCAGAGTATTTCTGGAGCTCTCCCTTCGAATTAATGTCGTTTTTGTTCATATGGATTTGAATATTCCATTATTCCTTTGGAATTTGTAGCAATGTTCAAATATTTCTCTTAATTAATTCCTAATATGACATGGAGAAATTCTGTTTTTGGAATTTTCTTTATTAATTTATTGATTGAATCCACTCATTTTAGTGGCGTATTCGTGGCGAACAATTAAATAAAAAAAAAATTATAATTTATTATTATTATTATTATTATTATTTTTAAAATTCCAACATTAAAATCTTTCATTTTTTTCAGAAAGTTTTGTTCGACAAATAAAAATTAATTTTTGTATAATTTTTTTAATAATATATGTTATTATATAATGTATTTAATATATATATTTTAAAATCTTAAAAAGTGTTTAATAAATATTTTTTAAAAAAAGAATAGAAAGTTGGAACGAATGGGCCGTGGTAGGTAGAGAGAAAAAGAAGGCCCATTTTGAATGCGGCCCATAAGTGGAGTTGCGCGGGAACGATGCAAGAGAGCGAAGTGGAAATGGGAAAGAGAAACATCGGAACACGGATAATACTGTCGCACGCGTGGTCTGATGTTGCTGGGTTGTACGTGTACTACGCACGTGCCGTTTTATGCGCATGCTTTCGAACCGGTTCGTCAGCAGGTTGTCTTCAAAATCATCTTGTCCCCACAATCTCTTCATCTTAGCTTCTCCTTTCATTATACTGCACGCAAAGAATTAGTCTTCCAGTCAATTCACATTTCTTCTTGAGAATTCTCTTAAAAAAATGATCAATTCCACTAAATTTGTAAATTTAATGGGAGATCCTACATCGTCAATCGAGAGAATGAAATATTTCTTACAAGGGTGTAGATCTCTCTCTCTAATAAACGAGTTTTAAAATCTTGAAGAACTCGAAAGAAAAGCCAAAGAAGACAATATCTACTAGGTGTAAGCTTGGGCTGATATAAATGGTATATTAGACAGAAACCAAGCGATGTGCTAACAAGGACGTTGCCCAAGAGGAGGGTGGATTGTGAGGTCCCATATCAATTTGAGAGAATAATGAAACATTTCTTATAAGAGTGTGAAAACCTTTCCCTAACAGACGCGTTTTAAAATCGTGAGACTAACGACGATACATGACAACATGTATTTAACCATGATATGTTGCTTAATGTAACGCTGGATGGAGATTTCCAGTTTTGAGATATAGAGAAACTTGTGGTGCTTGCTTAACTATTCTTTTAACTATTGAGCTATGTTCAAGGAATCGAAGTCTTGGGCCCGAGACTATCATTCCTTGTGTCGTGCACGACATGTATGCAATCATCAACAAAACACTCATTAGGTTTGTCAGTCATAATTCCCAAATGCATACTATGGCTTCTTCCACCAGTACAGATATGAATCTTGATAGGAAGGACATGGTCATTCTTGGTACTCAATATGTTGGGGAAATGAAGAAAGACCTCTTAGTTTAATGCATTATCTAATGCCAAAGCGCCATATTCTGTCTTTTCAAGATGGAGATGTGGCCCCTTTTCTTCTGGTATGGGGGGTTATTATGACTTAATTGAATCGACTTGAGGGAAAAGGAGTTCGATATTTGGAATGCTATCGAGTTTGGGACTAATAGCCTCCCGTCTTACTCTCTTGGGACGGTTTCATAACCGTTTAATTTTAAAAAACTACGTTGTTTTCTCACCATTCCTGAGGAACAATTTGAGTTCATAGCAAAATTCTAAAAAAAAAAAAAAAAAACTGAAATTAAAGGATCGTCAAATGAGGCCTTAGCTATGCCATTTTGAGCTTAAATCTTGTTGCAAAATCAGGTGGCTGGGACCGAGGATGGTGTAAACGAGCCACAGGCAACATTCTCAGCCTGTTTTGGAGCAGCATTCATCATGGTTGCACCCGTCCAAGTATGCAGCTACGCTAGCTGAACTCATTTTGGTGGTGTCCTAAAACAGGCCTTTTTTCTTTCTCCATTCTTCTGCAATGATGGAAGTTGTAACTGGATCAAGTTAGGCTACACGAGGAGGATTATCGACACGATCCACTCAGGATCCCTTTTGGAGGCAAACTACACTACGACTCGAAAACCCAGAGAGATTAATGGCAAACAGAAGGTGATTAGCTGATGTAGCAACATTTATGAACTGAATCCTAGTAAATATTATAGCTATGTGTATGCAGTTGCTTTGTGGGCTGGGAAGTCGAAAGACAACCTCTAAATTACAACATTGGGGAGCTGAAATGTTCATTTTCCAATTGTCTAGAAATGTACGAGGTCAAAAGTTTCAGTTTTATGGCCATGACAAGTTTATATACCTGCTAAGATTCACTGGTCGATGTGTTATCTTTGTGCTTGATCATACCAGAATCGACTAGAACTGGAACATCAGCAGCAAGCCATGGTGCTAAGTCCCAAACAAAGAGCGTGAGCTATTCCAAACCTAGGACTGCAAAATAAATCCCAAATCAGGATGGCCGTTTCTTTACCCAGTAGGCCTAGATCATGTCAATGACAAGCTGGAAAACAAAGTGCAATGCTCAACAACAGCCCCAAAACGGTAATACTTTGAAGGTTTTGAATCCTCAACATATTGGTTTAACTAAAAACGACCACATGATTCATGAAAGATAAAGTTTGTTGAGTATTGTTAGAAAAGGAGCCCCTGACTAAAGAGTTGATCATGGGTTTATAAGTAAGGAATACGTCTCTATTGGTGTAAGGTCTTTTGGGGAAGCCCAAAGTAAAGCCATGAGAGCTTATGCTCAAAGTGGACAATATCATACCATTGTGGAGAGTTGTGATTCCTAACATGGTATCAGAGCCATGCCCTTAACTTAGCCATGTTAACAGAATTCTCAAATGTCGAACAAAGAAGTTGGGATCCCGAAATTGTAGTCAAAAGTGACTCAAGTGTCGAACAAAGTACACAATTAAGAGGAGGTTGTTCGAGGGCTCCAGAGAGGAGTCGAACCTCAATTAAGAGGAGGCTGTTCGAGGGCTCCATAGGCCTCAAGGGAAGCTCTATGGTATACTTTGTTCAAGGGGAGGATTGTTGAAGATTGTTGAAGATTGTTGGAATAGGAGTCCCACATTGACTAATTGAGTAATTAAGGAGTTAATCATGAGTTTATAAGTTAGAAATACATCTCCATCTCCATCTCCATGGAGTATGGGGCCTATAGGGAAGTCCAAAGCAAAGATGGAAAATTTCATGCTAATCATTTCAAACAAAATTCCATTGCGAACAAAACTGGTTCCAAAGTAGAATAACTGGGGAATCAGAACCTATGGGTCCCATTCAAAATATGACGTTCACTGTTAACAATTTGGAAGAAGAGACCCTGTTAAGACACGGATCAAAGGAAGCATGCATTGTGCCTAAAGCTGAAACTGTTTAAACTTCTAATTGCAAACTAACACAAAGTAAAACTTATATAGTAGGCCTTTCCTGAAAGTGAGCAGTTCTGAGCAGACCATCATTTAAAGAAAGATAAGCGAAATTACCAGTTTTTCGCCCAGAGAGGTTTGAAATGAATGGTTAAGCAGATCTTTCCGCCTCTATACATCTGAAATAATTCACAGCATCCAGCCAAAATGAGTTCCAAATTTGAACTACGAATAACGTAAATTCTTCAAAACAATCGAATTCGATCGAACTCAAACCTTCTGTGTTTTTCCATCGAGCTCCGGGAGCTCGAGCTCTGGCGCGGTGGACGGATACGTGACAGGAATATCGAATTCGTACTTGAGAAGGTTGTGGATGTACCAGCACTTTCCGATCCATCGTGTTCCCTCTGGATTCGCAGCCGATATCCTGAACCAGTCGTTGTCATTGGACTTGTTCATCTGAGTGTACGCGATCAATGCCTTGTACTCCTTCAGCCTCTGCGTCCATGGCGCACCATCTCTGGGCCCGGCTTTCGTCGTTAGCAGAGGGATTTGGGTTTGGTATTCGGATCCCAACCCTCCATACTTCTTCTCTGCTAACGCTAACCGAGATTCCGACTTGCGTCGTGTTAGACGAACACGACTATACACAATGGAGAGTGTATCCCTAAATCAACCGACACTTTCATCTTACACGTCGGTTCCTGCAACTCCCTTTTATGGCTCGTGGCCGTCGATTGGTTGTTCTGATTCCCAAGGTGGAATGGTACCTTGTGCCTCTTGGAAGTTGATAGAGAGGGCATTTTCGGAATTACATCTTACAAGTCTTTTTGTTTCTCCTTTTTCTTTTTAATATATGATGATAAAATAATGTGTTTTATTTATAAAACAGAATAATAAAATATGAAAAATATCCCTTCCCCTTGGTTTTAAAAAAATATTTTAATGTTCCAATTTTCAACACTATTTTAAAAATATTTTTTAATTTTAAAAAGTTGGATTAATATCATTCCAACTAAAAAAAACTTTAAAAAATAATATTAATTAACGAAAATCGTCTATTAACATCTATTATATTATTTTTATTTTTAATATTGTTTTTGAAAGTTGATTATTATTTTTTAAATTTAAGAATATTTTTTAAAAAAGTTAAGATGTTTTTTTAATTTTTTAAAAAGTTTAAAATTATTTTTGAAAGTTTTTAAAAAATTTAAATTGGAAGAGATTTTTATTAATTTAGTTTTTTTTTTTTTTTTTTTTTTTTTTTTTTTTTTTTTTTTTTTTTTTTTTTTTT